TTGTCTTGATGAAGTGACTATAAGTTGTAACTTGTGCTGTTGTCTTGATGAAGTGACTATAAGTTGTAACTTGTGCTATTGTCTTGATGAAGTGACTATAAGTTGTAACTTGTGCTATTGTCTTGATGAAGTGACTATAAGATCAGTATTCTTGAACTGGTGAACAGATGATAGCCCTAATGTGTTTTCCGATGTTTTCTAATATAAAGTTTGATTATAAACAGTTACTACCTTTAAGATTGTATACAACTTGCGCATTGATCAAAGACTTTCCTTGTTTGAGAGTAAGAAAGTTTGATTATAAACAGTTACTACCTTTAAGCTTGTATACAACTTGCGCATTGATCAAAGACTTCCCTTGTTTGAGAGTAAGAAAGTTTGATTATAAACAGTTACTACCTTTAAGTTTGTATACAACTTGCGCATTGATCAAAGACTTTCCTTGTTTGAGAGTAAGAAAGTTTGATTATAAACAGTAACTACCTTTAAGTTTGTATACAACTTGCACATTGATCAAAGACCTCCCTTGTTTGAGAGTAAGAAAGTTTGATTATAAACAGTTTCTACCTTTAAGTTTGTATACAACTTGCGCATTGATCAAAGACTTCCCTTGTTTGAGAGTAAGAAAGTTTGATTATAAACAGTTTCTACCTTTAAGTTTGTATAAAACTTGCACATTGATCAGAGACCTCCCTGCTTGAGTGTTAGAAAGTTGTTTTCAAGACTTACTTGATTTTTTGATAGCACCAGGGATGTAAACTATGCTCATTAATAAAGTGATGATAAATCTAGTTCAGAACATCTGATATTCACCAATGATCTGAAAATGATTAAATTGTTTTTCCTGCTTCAGGAGAGGAAAGAACGTGAGAGAGCACTGCGAGGACGATCCCCATCACCAGTCATCCCCCAGGACAGGAGTCTGGATAAATCCTCTGACAGACATAAGAACAGGGAGACATCAAAAACTCTCAAGAAGTTAATCCAGGAGGACAGATCTAGACTAGGGTAAGCTCTTCACTAAAATGGTCAGTTTCATGAGATTTTTTTAGCAGATTTCAATGTACTGGGATAAGGATTGAACATTTTGCTACTAATTTTGCTGATAGTACATACTTCTTTGCAGATTTTTTTTTTCTGCAGAAACTTTCAAAATAAGAACCCATAAAAAAGAGTTCTTCAGACTATTCACTGTCTCTTTTTATTTTATATACTCTCTGTGGTCACCTTTGCCAAATAAAACAGGTATGTTATAAAGAATCTCGCTTGTTAATTTTACAGTGATCAAAGGCTTACAGATCCACACTGGGGCCCATCAATAGGAATACTGTGTGGATTTAGTGACTTAAACTTTTGAATGGGTCCTTTGAAAGAAGGGCATATCAGATACATGATTTAGCTCATTATTAAACTCTTTCACCCCTTCATATCTAAACTGGACTTCCCATGTCTTTGATTTGGTAAGGTTCAAATGTGACTTGAGGGGTGATGGGTTAAAAATGACTATGTTTAAATAGAGTCTCGTCTTGATATCTTAAATCTCTTTCAAGATTTCCTATTTTTGAAATTACCATACTTGCCAACTCTCCCGATTATGGAGGGAGACCCCCGATTTCGAACCCGAAAATTGAGCATTTTCAACCAGTGAATTTGTTAAACTATTCCTATATTCTAACATCTAATTCTTTCATCTGAAAGAACAGCTCAAAAGATGTCAATTAAAATCGTTGTTTTTCCCTAGGGTGTACATACACACATTTCATTTATTCACAAGCACGTGTAATCTCCCCCAAGGAAATTTCAAAAAGTTGGCAAGTATGAATAACTGCTTCAAACAACTTATTTCAAAACATTTGAATAAAATAAATATTTAATCTTTGTTTAAGTATTACAGATAAATCATTACTATTATTATTAAACAATAAGAACTTTGGGAAAAAAATAACCAGTATTTGGTCCTTGTTGAGAAAATGAAAGATTTCAGTCATGAATTTGGTATTGAACGCTAGTGTTAATTTTATAAATCCTGAAATATTTACAGAAAGACTAAATATAATAAAGAAATGCTTCTTACAGTAAATAATGCTTTCAAGTAGTACACTTGATTCTAATCACTTGTGAACAGTTTTTGATTTGAGGTTTAATGTTACAGAGACTCGCATAAAAGAAGGAGAAGTGCTGGAGATGATCTGCGACACCGGTCTTATTCTCCAGAACAAGAATTCAGAGGAAGGAGCCACCCTCGCCGCCACCGTTCGACTGAGTTTGACTCCAGCAGCAGCAGCAGTGGCAGCAGCAGTAGCGGAAGCTCAAGTGACAGTAGTTCTTCCTCTGACAGCGAAGATTCATCCATTCCAAGGGATCGCAGACACCAGCGGAGAGTCAAGGACAGTCATAGCAAGGAAGAAATGGAAAAGGACACAGACAAGTACATAAACCCGGAGTCTTCAAGAGAAATCTATCAGGCAGAGCTGGATCGTAGGTCAGCAGCAGCAGCTAAAGTCCCATCTCCTAGTGAAGCATACGCTGTAGACCACACATCCTCCTTTTTGTTTGGAGCTGACGGAAACTACAGGACTTCTCCTCCAGAGGAGGAGAGGAAGAAGTCTGAGGTGAAGGAACAAGACAGAGATAAGATGTGTCGGAAGGATGAGGGAGCTAAAGAGAAACATAACAGAGAATCTTCTAAACACAAATCAAAATCCCATTCCATAGACAAGAATAAACAACAGAGCAGAAAAAGATCTGTTGAGCAGGAGGGAGACAGGAGCAGAAAGGATCCCAGAAGTTCTCACAGTAGTGACCGATCAACTTCTAGGTCACATCAGAAAAAGAGAAGTAGGGAGTCGTTTGAGGATGTAAGTGACAGAGACATTAGATTAGACAGTTCTTTTGAAACAAAACGAGACCAGTTCAGTGAGAGTGGGAGCGGCCGTGTGTCGCGTAAAAGTGAAAGAAAAGAGAACAAAATTCACGAATTTCATAAAAGTCCTGAATTTGAACGGGACATTTTTATTGACAAAGAGGATATTGATAGAAAGGACAGAAGGAAGTCTGGATCTAAAGAGAAAACCAAAAAATACAAGGATGAGGATGAGTATTCGACTGATTCTAAGTCTAAGGTTGCTGGCAAAACCAGTGAAAGGAAACTACCTCCAAGGAAAAGGGACAGATCAAGGTCTAGTTCAGCTCATTCCTTTGAGGATAAGAGGGAGAGATCTCTGTCTCCTGAAGAACATAAGAGGCAATATCTGCAGATGAAATATGAAAGCTGGAAACAAGCTACAAATGTTGAATTAGAAAGGAAGCGTAAACAGGCGGAGTACAACAAGAGGAAGCCACAAGATGGAGACTCACGAAAGGCCAGTGAAAACAGGATTACTATGGATAAAAACAAGCTTCAGTCTAGAAGTCAAATAGATGGTCATAGGTCATCTAGTGGTCAGGGGTCATTAGGGGTCGTACAAAGTGAAGAGATAATTAAGTCAAAATGGGACAGTCCAGGAGAAAAGGATGCTCGTGTAGGAGGCGACGGACAAAGGAGGAGGAGGTCTCGCTTTGACATGCAACTGCAGGATCAGAGTCGGGAATCTGAGGAAAGGGTTTTCAGTAAAACCATCATTTTGGAAGGAAAAAGGAAAGATGATAAACATGCAAGTAAGAAGGATGAGAGGGAACTATCTACAGTAGGTTTGGATGCTGTAGAAGATAAAGTGAAACTGAAGAAAATGACTGACAAGGAAAGGGCACAAGTAGGTAGGGACATGGAGGGGTTAAGGATTCACATCAAGAATGATCACTTCAGTGAAAGCAATAAGGTGTCGGAGGAGAACATCAAACGACACTCGGACAGGGACAGCCTTGAGGGATCTATCGCAAGTAGTCGAGGTACTCATACAAGTACACGACATCGCAGACCTTCACCAGAGCTCGAAAAAGATAAATCTAAACACCGCCAGACACCACCAGACATCAGGGCTGACTCTAGACATAAGAGTGATTATTCCTCCTCAGAATCTGAAAGTTCTAATGGAAGTTATCATGATGATGTTGACGAGGAGCTGCCAGATCGAAGTTCTGGGCGCTACAAGAAAATAGAGAAGATGTTTAATAAGAAAGATATGGGTAAATATAGGGAAGGTGCCAGTGGTTCACGAAATCGTCACTACTCAGAAGGTAGTGACTACTCCAAGCAAAAACACAATCTTCCCGATGTCATACAGAGTGCCCGGAGAGAGAACAAGCAAGCCAACAAATATGTTCCTCGCGGTTTAGGAAGGGGAAGAGCTGGCAGGGGCAGAGGGGGATACAAAGGTCGAAATTGGCACCGGGGCGGACGGGGGAGGAACCAATACAAAGAAAGGGGCGAATATAAGGAGTCCTTCAAGGATAAAAGAAACTACGGTCGTGATAAACATTTCAAAGGTAGTAAACGGTCGCGAAGCCCTAGCTCCTCAGACTCCTGGTCATCTCGTAGCTCTTCATATTCGTCTTCGTCATCTCAAAGTCCCAGTAGGAGTAAAACATCTCGCTATTCAGCATCCTCTAGGAAAGGATCCTATAGCAACCAAAGTCAATCCTGGTCAAGCAATCGTTCCCCACACTCGTACGTAGACCCTTACGCCAAAGGCAAACCGAAATTTACAAGTGCTAAGTTTCCAAAGGTCAAACAACCACTCCTTGGGGAGCTTGCAATGTCTGAACCGAAGGTTCAACCACAACCTGCCCCTCTAACAGTACAGGAAGAACAGAAAAAGAAGGAAGTATTGTTTCAATTGGAGAACTTTTTAAGTCAACTTAAAGAGAAGAAGAAGGAGCAGGTTTCTGTTGATGAGGGTACGGCAAAAACCCCAGAAAAAGTGTGAGATATTGTCTGACAAGTTACTATGAACACAGAAATTTAATTTGGAAGAAAATTGATTCTGGGGTATGACTTTGGTATGTTCCAGAAGTGATTGTTTTCCGAATAGCTGTTTTCTGTGAAGGAAAGTCTGATTGAAATGCATCTACCTTGAACATGTGTCACTCGAAACTTGTTAGCCAGAGTGCCACCCTGAGAATGTCTGACATTCTCAGAACTTTTGAACTTGAGTGTCGAATTTGAGTGTCACGGGTAAGAACATTTCTCCTGCAGAAATTATTGTTCTGAAGACATGTGTCAGTCTGAGAATGTGTCATTGTCTGGCATTGTTAGAACAAGAATCACCCTGAGAACATGCTTCCCTGAGGATGTGTTAGATACTGTTGAGAAATCTGATAAAAATGGGGAAGAAGCCCACCTTGACAATTTGTGATCCATTTTGATACGACCATGCTCTATGGTATGTTTTGTATATACCTTGTGTTTAGTCACTACTCAAAGTCGGCTTTGTAATTATGATGGTATTCACGGGAAACAACCATTCTCACAAATGTTGTGGAATGTTCTGTTTCTGCACGAACAACTTGGCATCAGTATAACAATGTGACACATGAATAAATGAAAGTTATCTCAAAACTAACTATCTTCTGTGTAAGCAGTTGAAACTTGTACAATATACATTCACATTGTTGCAGTGATGACAGTTCTGTCTAGTATGATAGAAGAGCTGAATGTTTGCTGGATGACAGTTATGTCTAGTATGATAAAAGAGTTGAATGTTTGCTGGATGCAGGGTTCATTTGGAATATATTGTTAAAATCATTGTTTGATTTCATTTTTGACAGCATGTTAGTCTTAACTTCAAAAATCATTGCTTTGATTTACTTTTTATTATACGCCCGTCGAATGATGGGACGTATTATGTTTTCACGCGGGCATGCTTACACATTAGTTTCCGCTCAATAACTTGAGTAATTTTGAATGGATTCATTTCAAACTTGGTAGGAAGGTTCATTGCCATAAACTCTTGGACAGGTTCGATAACCAAAATTATTTGCCAGTTATTTACGGAATTATGGCCCTTTGAGGAATTGCCGGAACAGTTTTCGCTTATGGCCCTTTATAGAATTAACGTGACAGTTTTCGCTCAATAACTTCAGTAATTTTGAATAGATTCATTTCAAACTTAATAGGAAGGTTCATTTCTATGAAAGCTTGCACTATTTTGATAAACATTATCCGCCTGTTATAAAGGGAGTTATGGCCCTTTATATAATTGATGTAATGCTTTCTGCTCAATAACTTGAGAGGTTTTGAATGTATTCATCTCAAACTTCAGCCATAATTTACGGACTTACGGCCTTTTGTACAGCTGTCGGAACACAATTTTTGCGCAATACCTTTATGGGCTTATGGCCCTTTGTTGCAATACTCATTCGACATCTGACGGGCATATCATGTACCGCTTCATGGAACTCTTGTTGTGACTTGTTATATGTATTTCACATTGGTTTATTCCTTATTGATTGAACGTGTTATACATTGTATTTGAATACAAATTTCAGTTATGCTTGTTCACAAGTTAGATTTAATTTGAAAACAGATGTATATCTATATAGATGACAAGGTAATAACAGCCATTTCAAAATGTCTTGCCAGAACTTCATATTCATCAAACTTTAATAATTAAGAGATTCAATTTTGCCAGTAAAACAGCTGGCCCTTATTATCAAGTTGATGACGTTACATTGAAGGTGCTCTTTAAGTTCGTAATTACCAGAGGATAGACACATAAACTGTTTGCAAAGGGCTTATTAACTTTCTTTGGGATGGTTAGTACATATACCACCTGATATGTAAAATATATTTTGACAATCATAAATGTTATAAAAGATATTAATAAGGTGTATTTTACTCAATGCCTGGCAAAAATATAGAATAAATATAAATATTAGAAAAAAATTCTGGGGATAACACTGCCTAAGATGACAGTGACTTCAGAAAAATAAATCTGGAATCTGCTGAAGTCAAACAATAATTGAATAATGCTATAATTTATTAGTGAGTGAGGTTTGTTCCATATTTTCTTTAATTTACAGATTTAATTTACTCTAACCCAAAATCTGTATTTCAAAAAATCGGATTATATAATATGACCTTTTGATTACACACGTTTTGAAATCTTTTCCCCCTGAGCAAATTCATGATGTACCAATGGTATGTAGAGTAAAGCACACAACCTGAATGTATTGGAGTTTTAGGTGTGCAAGTCTGTTCTTTATCTTGTTCATGTTTTTGCATGAAGATATATAAGGTGACTGCATCAATACAAATCTACAGTATGTTTTATCAGTCTAGATAAATGTGTGGAATTTGGCCATTTGTCTGAAAGAAAGAAGAAAGAAAAAAGGAGGAAATAGTAGAGTAGTCACTTTCTTTGGCATAATTTCTTATATAGCAGACACTTGAATTAACAAATTTAAGCTTTCATATTTAACGCACCAAGGACATTTTCATTGAATTTACAGGGAAATTGACCTGATACAGAGATTATTACTTTGCTGTCATAATTTGTTCTATGATCAGCTTCTTGTTATGAGGTACATGTATGTAAGTTTGTACGAATATATGCAGCTTCTGTGTTGGAGTATGTAACCCAGGTTATCAGCTGATTACTCATCAAATAGAGAGGCGTTATCAGTTTGCCATAACAATTGTATTATGAATCAATGCAAACTGGTAATATTTTTGTTATAGCATTTATTAATTTTCACAGAAATCAGGTTGTGGTCTCAATAAAGACCACCATAGCTGCTGAGTACACAACTATGATAAGTTCTATTTTCATAAGAAATACAAATGAAACCAAATTTAGATTTGAACATAACGCCACAACATGATACTGAAATGATATTTTCTGTCAATCTTCATGAAGTATTTAAATTCACGAATTTTGTCTTGTCATATGTATTGTCTCTATTTAAGTAGAACATTTGAAAAAGCAAAATGCTATTTCTGCTCCTGACCTATTCTCTTCTGTTTAGTGGTAAAGCTGATCACAACTGAGACCATAGCCCAGGTTATAATACCCACCAGCACAAAAAAAATCAACTACGGCAAAACCATGGTCCAGGTGCCTGGATCATTGATCTGTATACATGTAATGGTACTGTATCAGACGGCTAAAGCCTCGTCCCAATTGTTACAAAAGCCTGCTTAGCTTAATGAGAAGTGAACAAACATTTTTTTTTAAATATTGAATTAAGTGTTCCAGGGTTTAGATATAATGTGGTGCTGTGTGATATAGGGAGGTTTTGTATGTATAAGACTGTCTGGGTAACTGTGGTACTGTGTGATATAGGGAGGTTTTGTATGTATAAGACTGTCTGGGTAACTGTGGTACTGTGTGATATAGGGAGGTTTTGTATGTATAAGACTGTCTGGGTAACTGTGGTACTGTGTGATATAGGGAGGTTTTGTATGTATAAGACTGTCTGGGTAACTGTGGTACTGTGTGATATAGGGAGGTTTTGTATGTATAAGACTGTCTGGGTAACTGTGGTACTGTGTGATATAGGGAGGTTTTGTATGTATAAGACTGTCTGGGTAACTGTGGTACTGTGTGATATAGGGAGGTTTTGTATGTATAAGACTGTCTGGGTAACTGTGGTACTGTGTGATATAGGGAGGTTTTGTATGTATAAGACTGTCTGGGTAACTGTGGTACTGTGTGATATAGGGAGGTTTTGTATGTATAAGACTGTCTGGGTAACTGTGGTACTGTGTGATATAGGGAGGTTTTGTATGTATAAGACTGTCTGGGTAACTGTGGTACTGTGTGATATAGGGAGGTTTTGTATGTATAAGACTGTCTGGGTAACTGTGGTACTGTGTGATATAGGGAGGTTTTGTATATATAAGACTGTCTGGGTAACTGTGGTACTGTGTGATATAGGGAGGTTTTGTATGTATAAGACTGTCGGGGTTGTGAATACTTCGTTAAATGCATAGCGGCAGAATGCTTGAGTTATCGGAGACATGACAGTAAAACTCACAGGTAATGAACACAATATATTTGGGGCTTATGCAAGTCTAAGATTAGTAGTACACAACTTATGTTGGGCTTGTACCAGTCTATGGATAGTAGTTATATAGATACATGTACATGTATGTTGTTTAGCACATGAGAAATCTGGGGCATGTGCAAGTCTGATACAGTTGGTACTACTTCTACACTATATAGCTAGAAGCACAAGATCAACGAACATCTGTGTCTGACCCTGTGGTAACACTAATTCTATGAGTTCTGTGAGATCAGAGACGTATATATTACATGTAATATATATATATACATCTCTGGTGAGATGTACAGAACTTTGTTCCAGTATTGAGACCATATTTTATAAGTGAAATGTTAATCATTGGTATTAAAAAATAATGATGAAATCAAAGTGTTGTGTATTTTATTATGTCTCCCCTTCAATGAAGGGAGACATATTGTATTAGTACTGCTTCTACTTCTTCATCTGGTTCTGGTTCTTCTAGTCGAACTTGTCCGGGCCTTAACTTTTAAACCGTTAAAGATATCTTGATGAAACTTTAGGTATGGATGCATCACCCACAGGAGGTATGCAGTGCACTGGAATTAGGTCACTGTGACCTTCACCTCAAGGTCAAAGGTCAAATAAGTGCAACATTTTCAGTAAATTCTTGTCTGGCCTGGCCCGTAAATTTCAAACCGTTACAGATATCTTCATCAAGCTTGAACTATATCTGCCTCACCCACAGAAGGTGTGCAGTGCAATAGAATTAGGTCTCATGCTTCACTATATACAGAGTTATGATCCTTTGTTTATTTTTAATGCAGAAAATTGTCCGGAGCATAAGTTTCATGGTATTTCACCTACGTTGAACATATACCATATTAATGAATCTTGGGAAGGCGGAATTTCTCGCACTACTATCAGATTTTATGCCCAACTATATACAGAGTTATGTCCCTTTGTTAGCCCGAAGGGCCATGTGAGCTCATGCCGTACTGCGGCGTCTGGCTTCTGGCGTCTGTAGTCCGTCGTCCGTCCGTCAACTTTTTCTTTTGAACGACTTCTTCTGAAGAACTGTAGGGCCCAGGGTCATGATTTTTGGCCAGTAGGTACCTGGGATGGAGTGCTATAAAGTTTCCTCATTAAAATGACCTTGACCTACTTTCAAGGTCAAATATGTGAAAATTTTCAAACAACAATATCCTAAGTACCATTTGAACTAAAGTCATGATACTTGGGTATGTTATGAAGACCAGCAGTGCGAATATTTTTCTCAGTTACAGTTATGAGGTCAGAGGTCTACTTTAAAAGCGAGTGGGGGGTTCACATATCAACTTTGGTTAAAATCTTTAACAATCTTCTTCTCAAGTTCCATAAGGTCCAGTGTCATGATTTTTGGCCAGTAGGTACCTGGGATGGAGTGCTTTAAAGTTTCCTCATTAAAATGACCTTGACCTACTTTCAAGGTCAAATATGTGAAAATTTTCAAACAACAATATCCTAAGATTCATTTGAACTAGAGTCATGATACTTTGGTATGTTATGAAGACCAGCAGTGCGAATATTTTTCTTAGTTACAGTTATGAGGTCAGAGGTCTACTTTAAATGCGAGTGGGGGGTTCAAATATCAACTTTGGTTAAAATCTTTAACAGTTAATCTTCTTCTCAAGTTCCATAAGGTCCAGGGTCATGATATTTGGCCAGTAGGTACCTGGGATGGAGTGCTATAAAGTTTCCTCATTAAAATGACCTTGACCTACTGTCAAGGTCACAGCGGTCAAATATGTGAAAATTTTCAAACAACAATATCATAAGAACCATTTGAAGTAGAGTCATGATACTTGGGTATGTTATGTAGACCAGCAGTGCGAATATTTTTCTCGTTACAGTTATGAGGTCAAAGGTCAAATTTAAATGCTAGTCGGGGGTTCAAATGTCAACTTTGGTTAAAATCTTTAACAATCTTCTTCTCAAGTTCCATTAGGCCCAGGGTCATGATATTTGGCCAGTAGGTAGCTGGGATGGAGTGCTATAAAGTTTCCTCGTTAAAATGACCTTGACCTACTTTCAAGGTCACTGGTGTCAATTATGTTAAAAACTTCAAACAACAATATCCTAAGAACCATTTGGACTAGAGTCATGATACTTGGTTGTGTTATGTAGACCAGCTGTGTGAATTGTTTTCTTTATTACAGTAATGAGGTCAAAAGCCAACTTTAAGTGCAAGTCAGGAGTCAAAGGTCAATATGAGTTAAAAGCTTTAACATTAAAATTTCAAGTTTCAAAAAACCATATCTTCAGAACCGTTTAAGAGATGTTAAAATGTCTTGTGTTCTAGTTACCAAATTTTGTCTTAAGTTACCTATATGTCAGTTGCATGTAACAAAAGAAACAGGTGAGCGATACAGGCCCTCTGGGCCTCTTGTTTATTTTTAATACCGAAGTACTTGCCTTGTTCTCTCATGGTGGGTCCCCTACACGGACAGTAATCGCTGCCATGTTACTCGTTGGAACTCTCAGGGAGGGTCCCCTACACAGACAGTAATCGCTGACACGTGAATCGCCTTATACTCCAATGGAAGGTCCCCTACACAGACAGTAATCGCTCTGACACATGACTCCCCTTGTAATCTCCTGTAGGGTCCCCAACAATGACAGTGATCGCTCTGACACATTACTGGACTTATACTCTCATGTAGGGTCCCCTACACAAACAGTAATCGCTCTGACACATAACTCGCCTGGTACTCTCAAGTAGGGTCCCCTACACAGACAGTAATCGCTCTGACACATTACTGGACTTATCCTCTCATGTAGGGTCCCCAACAATGACAGTGATCGATCTGACACATTACTGGACTTATTCTCTCATGTAGGGTCCCATACACAAACAGTAATCGCTCTGACACATGACTCCCCTTGTACTCTCCTGTAGGGTCCCCCACAATGACAGTGATAGCTCTGACACATTACTCGCGTTATACTCTCATGTAGGGTTCCCTACAATGACAGCGATCGCTCTGACACATTACTCCCCTTGTACTCTCCTGTAGGGTCCCCAACAGTGACAGTGATCGCTCTGACACAATACTCGCCTTATACTCTTATGTAGGGTCCCCCACAATGACAGTGGTTGCTCTGACACATTACTCGCATTATACTCTCATGTAGGGTCCCCACAATGACAGTGACCGCTCTGACACATTACTTGCCTTATACTCTCATGTAGGGTCCCCCACAATGACAGTGGTTGCTCTGACACATTACTCGCCTTATACTCTCATGTAGGGTCCCCACAATGACAGTGACCGCTCTTGACACATTACTTGCCTGGTACTCTCATGTAGGGTCCCCCACAATGACAGTGGTTGCTCTGACACATTACTCGCCTTATACTCTCATGTAGGGTCCCCACAATGACAGTGACCGCTCTGACACATGACTCGCCTGGTACTCTCATGTAGGGTCCCCCAGAATGACAGTGATTGCTCTGACACATTACTCGCCTAGTACTCTCATGTAGGGTCCCCCACAATGACAGTGATTGCTCTGACACATTACTCGCCTTAAACTCTCATATAGGGTCCCCCACAATGACAGTGATTGCTCTGACACATGACTCGCCTGGTACTCTCATGTAGGGTCCCCCAGAATGACAGTGATTGCTCTGACACATTACGCGGCTGGTACTCTCATGTAGGGTCCCCCACAATGACAGTGATTGCTCTGACACATTACTCGCCTTATACTCTCATGTAGGGCCCCCTTCAATGACAGTGATCTCTCTGACACAATACTCGCCTTATACTCTTATGTAAGGTCCCCCACAATGACAGTGATCGCTCCGACACATTACTCGCCTTATACTCTTATGTAGGGTCCCCTACAATGACAGTGATCGCTCTGACACATTACTCGCCTGGTACTCTCATGTAGGGTCCCCCAGAATGACAGTTATTGCTCTGACACATTACGCGGCTGGTACTCTCATGTAGGGTCCCCCGCAATGACAGTGATTGCTCTGACTCATGACTCGCCTGGTACTCTCATGTAGGGTCCCCCAGAATGACAGTGATTGCTCTGACACATTACTCGCCTGGTACTCTCATGTAGGGTCCCCCACAATGACAGTGATCGCTCCGACACATTACTGGACTTATACTCTTATGGAGGGTCCCCCAANGATATATCCCTATCCCGCGGTCCTACTGTAGGTCGGAGTGGATACATCCCTACCCCACGGCCCTACTGCAGGTCGGAGTGGATATATCCCTACCCCACGGTCCTACTGTAGGTCGGAGTGGATGCATCCCTACCCCACGGTCCTACTGCAGGTCGGAGTGGATATATCCCTATCCCGCGGTCCTACTGTAGGTCGGAGTGGATACATCCCTACCCCACGGCCCTACTGCAGGTCGGAGTGGATATATCCCTACCCCACGGTCCTACTGTAGGTCGGAGTGGATGCATCCCTACCCCACGGTCCTACTGCAGGTCGGAGTGGATATATCCCTATCCCGCGGTCCTACTGTAGGTCGGAGTGGATACATCCCTACCCCACGGCCCTACTGCAGGTCGGAGTGGATATATCCCTACCCCACGGTCCTACTGTAGGTCGGAGTGGATGCATCCCTACCCCACGGTCCTACTGCAGGTCGGAGTGGATATATCCCTATCCCGCGGTCCTACTGTAGGTCGGAGTGGATACATCCCTACCCCACGGCCCTACTGCAGGTCGGAGTGGATATATCCCTACCCCACGGTCCTACTGTAGGTCGGAGTGGATGCATCCCTACCCCACGGTCCTACTGCAGGTCGGAGTGGATATATCCCTATCCCGCGGTCCTACTGTAGGTCGGAGTGGATACATCCCTACCCCACGGCCCTACTGCAGGTCGGAGTGGATATATCCCTACCCCACGGTCCTACTGTAGGTCGGAGTGGATGCATCCCTACCCCACGGTCCTACTGCAGGTCGGAGTGGATATATCCCTATCCCGCGGTCCTACTGTAGGTCGGAGTGGATACATCCCTACCCCACGGCCCTACTGCAGGTCGGAGTGGATATATCCCTACCCCACGGTCCTACTGTAGGTCGGAGTGGATGCATCCCTACCCCACGGTCCTACTGCAGGTCGGAGTGGATATATCCCTATCCCGCGGTCCTACTGTAGGTCGGAGTGGATACATCCCTACCCCACGGCCCTACTGCAGGTCGGAGTGGATATATCCCTACCCCACGGTCCTACTGTAGGTCGGAGTGGATGCATCCCTACCCCACGGTCCTACTGCAGGTCGGAGTGGATATATCCCTATCCCGCGGTCCTACTGTAGGTCGGAGTGGATACATCCCTACCCCACGGCCCTACTGCAGGTCGGAGTGGATATATCCCTAC